ATCAGAGAAAGAGAGAAAGAAAATGAGGGAAAGAAAACAAAGGGGAAGGGAAAAAGGGAAAGAAAGAGGGCAAAGAGATGGGGGAGGCTCTCCTGGCCTCCTCTGGGCCGCAGCGCTCCGGTGCCAACCCAGGGAGGCAGCGGGGGGGGCTCTACTGGCCTCCTCTGGGCTGCGGCGCTGGCCCAGGGAGGCGGCGGGGGGCTCTACTGGCCTCCTCTGGGACGCAGCGCTCTGACGCTGGCCCAGGGAGGAGGCGGGGGGGCACTCTTGGCCTCCTCTGGGATGCAGCGCTCCGGCGCTGGCCCAGGGAAACAGCGGTGGGGGCTTTCCTGGCCTCCTCGGGGCCGCAGCGCTCCGGCACTGCCCCAGGGAGGTTGCGGGGACGCTCTCCTGGTCTCCTCTGGGCCGCAGCGCTCCGGCGCTGGCCCAGGAAGTTGGCGGTGGGGGCTCTTCTGGCCTCCTCGGGGCTGCAGCATTCCGGTGCTGGCCCAGGGAGGCGGAGGCTCTTCTGGCCTCATCTGGGCTGCAGCACTCTGGTGCGGGCCCCGAGATGGCAGCGATGAGCGTCCCCCGGGCTGCAGTGCTCCGGCGCGGGCCCTGGGAGGCGGTGGTGGGGGCTCTTTTGGCTTCCTCCAGGCCGCAGCACTCTGGTGCGGGCCCCGAGAAGGAAGCGACGGGCCCTGGGAGGCGAGTTGGGGGGCTCTCCTGGCCTCCTCTGGGCCCCAGCGCTCCGGCACTGCCCCAGGGAGGCAGTGGGGGGGGCTCTTCTGGCCTCCTCGGGGACGCAGCGCTCCGGCGCTGGCCCAGGAAGTTGGCGGTGGGGGCTCTTCTGGCCTCCTCCGGGCCGTAGCGCTCCGGTTCTGGCTCAGGGAGGTGGAGGTTCTTCTGGCCTCATCCGGGCCGCAGCACTCTGGTGCGGGCCCCGAGAAGGCAGCAATGAGCGTCCCTCGGGCTGCAGTGCTCCAGCGCGGGCCCTGGGAGGCGGCGGTGGGGGCTCTTTTGGCTTTCTCCAGGCCGCAGCACTCTGGTGCGAGCCCCAAGAAGGAAGCGACGGGCCCTGGGAGGCGGCAGGGGGGCTCTCCTGGCCTCCTCTGGGCCGCAGTGCTCCTGCTCTGGCCCAGGGAGTTGGGGGGCTCTCCTGGCCTCCTCTGGGCCGCAGTGATCCGGCTCTGGCCCGGGGAGTTGGGGGGCTCTCCTGGCCTCCTCTGGGCCCCAGCACTCCGGCGCTGACCCAGGGAGGCGGCGGTGGGTGCTCTTCTGGCCTCCTCCGGGTCGCAGCAGTCTGGTGTGGGCCCCAAGAAGGCAGCAACAGTTGTCTCCTGGGCTGCAGCGCTCCGGCGCAGACCCTGGGTAGGCAGCGACAGGCCTCTTTGGGCTTCGCTGGAGCCGTAGCGCTTCATCGCGGGCCCCGGAAGGCTGGCGACAGGCCGTAGTGGGGGGGAGGGGGCGGGGCTTGCTGCCACCGCCCTTTTGCCAGCTCCTGGGCTCCCAGAGTGGCGCTCTGGCATGCTCCGGCCCCAAAAGACCCCTGCTTCTAATAGTTTCAACTTTCTAATAAAATCTATGGTCCTTATGGACTATACATCTGTATTTGCAAACACCTTTTTTCTGTGTTCTTGGTTACATGAAGCTTGAATTCTACAAATGTTTGGTCAAGAGTGTCTTCCCCATCATACTTGCTGTGTTTACATATATTTATGTCAACATTAAGGCCCAGCCTTTAAGAAGAAATCAAGTACTAACTCTTTGAGCATCCTTACTCTCTTGGGGGGTGTATTTACACCATCATGTGAAGATCGGAGTTTCATTGCCTTCAGGATTCATGGTTTACACAGGATTTTAAATGGGAAATTCCAGTCTAAGCTAACAGGAACAATTGTTGGCATACAGACTGCCAGTGTACGGCCCTTTGATTTGAGAATTATGCATCCATTACCTAATCAAGTTGAAGTGGAATGTAGTGAAATGGTTTCCTAATTCAGAGGGCATTCTTCCCAGAAACAGAATAAACACAATAGCAAGGAAATAGCAAGGAAATTGCTTGTAATTTCTGCATTGCAAAAGAGATGCATTCTATGCATCTGTTACTTCCATGTTTCTAGCCATTATTCAACAAGTGTTTGAAGAAGCAAATGAAAAATGAGTTGGTATATTTGCATTGTCTAAACAGTGCAGATAATCAATAGACCATTTTTACTGTTATATAGTGCTTCTTGGACTGCACTGAGTTTTGTGGTTCCTATCAAAAAAGAAATGTTAGACTTTGAGGCCTAGTTATATTCACTGTCTGACTTAATTTCCTGTAAGGTTCTCTCCCTGTCAGTTTTCTTCTTGTGTTGCATTGCATTTCATTGTTGACTTCCAGTGTCTCTTCCCTTGTATTTCCTGTACTGAAACACCTTATGCTCTTCTAAATTAATTCAGTTGCTCGCACATCCACATCCCCTCACCTTAACATTTGATACTGTGTGCAAGAAGGAATTGGTGGGAGAAGTCTGAGCTGGAATGATTAATCATTTTGCAGTCCAAAATTGCCAAACAGTCAGCCTTGGCTTATGCAAAAAGAGCAAGATAACTGTGATGCATTTTTTTTTGCAGCAGAACAGGTTCAATGTTGCAGCTCTTTAAAATATATTTCTGAGTTGCACCACAGAGGATATGATTGATAAGAGCCTCAGAATGGAGCTAGGGACAGACTGGGGAGATTTCTCTTCAAACCTGAAGGAATCTGGAATAATAATAATGATGATAATGATAATAATAATAAAAAATAATTTTTTGTATTTGTATCCTGCCGATTCTGAAAATGGGTTCAGGGTGGGTCATATCATCTTCCAACAATTCAATAAGTTTAAAAGCACATTATAAACATTTAAAATCAATAGTTATAGCTACTTTTGAAAGTTTCAACCTATTAGTACAGATGGATATGGCCTGTTGCTGATAGATGGATGGCCGGCAGGTAGGAGACAGCAACCTTGGGGAGGCCAGACGTGGATGCCCACTGCCTCAACCAAAAGCCTGGCAGAACAGCTCTGTCTTGCAGGCCCTGTGGAACCGAGTAAGATCCTGCAGGTCCCTGATCTCGATGGGGAGCATGTTCCACCAGGTGGGGGCCAGGGACCACCAGGAGATGTTGATTATTAGAGCATAAAGCTCTTTGGGGCATATACGTATATAATAATTATAATAATAATAATAATATGTTGGGGGATTAAAACTTTCCAATTTACAGAAACAGTATCTGAAGCTTTAAGAAAAAAAAAATCCAGGAATGGACTGGGAGGCCAAAACAGTCCTAAAAATGTCATGTCTCCCATCAACTGCCATGTCTGTGGTAGAAGAGGACTCACCAGCTACAGACCGAGTGATGACTAATGGAAAACTCAGTGCCCACACTCAGGCTGGTGGCAGTAGATACCATGCAACTCAGTCTGGCCCAGCCACAGCACAACTCAGGGCTGGCTGCCATACAGCCCAGCCATGATTTTCCTAGGGAGAGGGTGTCTAATAGGGAAGAAGGGAGCTCTGAAGATGTGGGGTAAAGGTAGGATGGCTGGTGGATGGGAAGAAGAAAAGGAAGCAGAAAAAGGGGAGAGGCTATAGGGGCTGCCATGGAAAAGGATACAGAGGAAAATAAGATGACCCCTATAAGTCCTTGCGAGTCCCCCACTTGTAATAAATTAAAACATTTATTCCCAGACAAATTGTGTTAAAGCTTGGACTTTTAAAACCAGGCTGCCCAGGCACAAGCTTTGTCACAAGAAAACAAAGAGGTAGGGGGTAAATGTTAGCTAGTCACAGAATGTAACTTGAACAGATTCCCTCTTGCACAGTTTTATGAAATGAAAATCTACCAGTCTAGATGAACCCTGAGCAAGTATTTGAACTATTTATTTATTTAAACAGTTGTATTTGCTTTTTCTAGTAGCTTTTCAGGCAGCTAATACAATTTAAAACATTGTTACAGCACCTAAAACTACAGACCCTTGAAAACAAAATAATTTGCATGGACTATAAAGGGTGCACAGATATAAAACTCATGGTTTTGTTTTTGGAAATGTTTTTTTAAATGCTAAACTGAAAAACAGAGTTGAAAGAAGTCTTGTCATATAAAAACTACTTTTCCCCTCTCCAGAAACAACTACGCAAATCTGTGGAAATGCAATGTGAGTAACCTATTTTGTTAATACCCATCTTGATCTATTTTGTGAATGCATTTGTCTGTGTTGTCTGATCGAGAATTTCTAGTTCTACTGGGGTCATTGGGAAAGCTTTGTTTACTTGGCCCCCTCTTGTGCTCTTGTTTTGTTCCTTATACCAAGAAGGTATGAAATGGTACCTGCAAAGACTGGGATGTCGTGGTCAATGCTCCCTCTAAGCTGTGGGGTCTTGTGAGCAAAAATTCTACTTTGTGAGCTACTAGCATTAAAGTTGAGAGTGAGCGATTTGGCTACTGCATAAATTAGTTTGCTCTGGAGCCTTCGTTCCTGAGCTAAGACAAAAGTCTGTGAGCTGAAGGCTAAAAAACTGTGAGCTAGCTTACACTAATTCAGCTTAGAGGGAACACTGGTTGTGGTAAGTATATATCTTTGTAAGGCCACATTTTAAGCTGCAATCAAGCATCATAAGAAGCTCCAGTGAAACTGAGATATGTATGAATATGGCTTCCCCACCCCATGCTTATAAGCGTACCTCCTTACTTTCTTTTCTTCTTGTGCATAGCATGATTAAGGATGCCTGGTTTGAAACCAATTCTGGTCCCCAAACTCCTATTGGGTGGAGTTGTGGCTGAGACATAGTGCATTCTTTTTGTGCACAAGTTCCCATAGCATCTTCAGTTACAAACAACAAGTGTAAAAGGTTAATGTTGTCTCTGCAGTCCGAGTAACAATAATTACCTTGATAGACTTTGATAAAGCAGTTTCATGTGACAGATGAATGCAGGAACTTGATGGAATCAAAGTTTTTATCTTCACAAGCTGGATTCTAAACCTCAGTCCTCTCCACTCTTGTTGAAATCAGTACACATAGACGGGAGGGAGGTGTAAACACACTGGCCCCGCTTTCCCGCTATACCAGGTCACCAGCCCATGTACATGAAGTCTGTTCATGTAGGAAGCGTACGTATGTAGGCTACATCTCCATGAATGGGAACACTTCTTTTTCAAATGTTCCTGATCATGGGATCATATGTACATGCATGTTCTCAGTATGTAGACTCTGTGCTCATGAGCCAACAATTACCCATAAGAGGGATCGGCACACTCATACCTGCTGTCTCTGTGTGTGCTGATTTCAACATGTGTAGTGTGTGTGGAGGGCTTGGCTAACATAGGTATAAAATGTGTGAAGAAAAGGAATTTTTAGTTTAGTGGACTCTTGCATTCACACGGCAAGGGGAAGCAGAGTTTGTTTCAATCCAATAATTTTCCATCATGTTACATGCAAGAAGAGAGTGAGGCAAGTATGGCAGCAACCCATGTTTGTGTACATCTTTGTTTAAGTGGAGCTCCTTGTAATGGCTGAATGTAGAATTAAGGTGGCTTTTAGTGAAAAATGTAATGGAACTGTAATGTTATCACGAGAAATCAGTGGAATTGCGTTCGTCAACAGGTTGTGGTTTGTGGCCCCAAATCATGAGTAACTTGAAGATTAAAATAGTTTTGGAAAATTTGAAAGCTACAGTACTGGAGAGTTGTAAGAAATTTAACCTGTTACTCTGGTTGAACAGGGTGTTGTAAGGTAAGTAGGTTCCCCAGTTTTTTCCTGCCAGAGTCTGTATGCTTTGAGCAGTTGGCTGATACACAGAAATTCAGCAGGCCTCACTATATTGTCACGGCAGGCAAAGTTGCACCATCTGTAAACAGCTGCTGATGGTAAAGGACCTTTGGCAAGACGAAAGATGGAATAATAACCCAAAGGCTACAATAGCTGAAAACTATAAACAGTATTTGAAGCAGAAGTGTTTCGAACAGATACACCGTCTAGTTGGTGAATTTTCTCAAATTATATTGAATTTTAAAATTGGGAGCATTCTATCAAACAAGTCCTCCCCCTTGAATATTTAGGATGGATCTGTAATTTTCATAATCAATGGTCTTGGGACCCTCATACCCACGGGACTGCCTCTCCCATTACAACCCTCTCTTCGGTCATCATCTAGGGGCCTCTTTCAGATGCCTGGCCCCAGGATGGTTACGTTAGCTGTCACCAGGGGAAGGGCCTTCTTGGTTGTGGCCCCTATCCTGTGGAATGCACTCTTGGATGATACTCATGCCCTGGTGGATTTATTTAGTTTCCACAGGACATGCAAAGCTGAATTATTTAGGTTGACTTTTGGAGGATAACCATGTGTTTGGGCTGTTTTTATAGTGGTATGGAGATAGACACATTAATTAATTAATTTGTTTGTTTGTTTGTTTGTTTGTTTCATTATATTTCTATCCCGCCCTCCCCGCGAATGGGCTCAGGGCAGCTCACAGTTTAGGGCACCATGTTCATACTTTAATCTTCATATTTTATTTTTTATTTCTTTTTATGTTGTTTTTATCTTTTTGGTTTTAATGTCAGTCACCATCCTTTGGGTGAGTGGCGACAAAAAATTCTAATAAATAATAAAATAAGATGTACTTGTTAAACTGAATTATTTCATCAATTAAAAACACAGTTTGATTTACTGCAATATGTGTATCAGGATAAACATTTTGATCAGATTAAAAATCAGAATAGAGTTCTCAAAACTTAATTACTTCAATATTAACTGAATAGATATTTCAGTCTGATGTGTTCAGATCGCTGCAGAAATTAAAAGACAGGGGCTTCAGACACTGTCATTGTTGGTAGCAGGCTCGTATCGTTACTGATGCAACATGATGGAAAAAAATGAATGTGTAGCCACTGCGCACCAGGATGAGCTGAGGTTGCAGGTATGTTTATAATGTCTGTCTCTACTTCCAGCTAACAAGCCTGCACCTGGGCCTCCTCCTCATGGCTACGGGGGGCCTGGATACCCAGGACCACAGCCACCGTATGGCTACCCTCAATATGCCCCTGGACTAGGTTTTCAAGGTAATAAGTCAATGTCTATACTAACTTTCTGGTTTGTTCAAAGAACTGCAAGCTTATATTGTGGCCATGTCTTTATGCTGGTCATGTGTCTGCAGTGTGTTGTTTTGTCTTAACTGTTCAATATCTAATTGTATTTCAAAGAAATCCTTAAGAGTGTGTGTGAATCTAATCATGCGCATATGTAGTCAAACCAGATACCTTCCTCAATACCAAATGTCCAGAACATTGCATTTTTTTTTAAATGCTTTTCTTAACACTTGGTGCCAAAATGAATGAAACTTGTCCAGTGGGACAGACAAGACTTCAGGAGAATTGCATATGCCTTTCATGCAGAAGATCAAGCATGGTGTGTCAAGTTACAAGAATTTTCAGGAAGCAGTGACAAGAAAGATCTTGTGCCTGAGGTCTCAAACGGATCAAAGATGTCTTGAAATATTCCACCCTCTCTCCTTGGCTACCCTTAATGTCTTCTGGAACACCCATGTGGTGTCTCTTCCTCCAGATCCCACCCATCCCATAAATCCTTTTCTTTGCCTCTTTTGACCCCTGTTCCCTTTTTTTCTCTCCCAAACCTGCCAGGACAAGTTCTTAGCACAGTTGTCTGCATTCTGATTAATTACTCTGTCAAGTATTGTGTACACTGTTGTCCCTATATTTAAATAACAGCAGCAATAATAATAATGGGCAATGCAAGGAGTATGTTCTTTCTTCAGCACAGTTCTTGTATAACTTATTAATTTGTCTGGCACAGTGTGGCATATAAATTGCATTAATGTGAGTGATGGTTCCTCCCGATGTGCCTTTTTATTTTGAATGATCTAATAGATGCATTTGTTTCTTTGGAACAGTCAAGCATTCATCAAGTATGTCTTGCTAGATGATTTAAAGTGAAAAGCCACATTGGGAATGGAGTATACGGTGGGTTTCCTGATCGCAGGAGCAGAGCCCTGCCTGCACTAGAGACTGCAAGGAGAAGGGAGGGGCGCACAAAGAGGCCTAGAGGGGTCAGCATAGGGATATGGAAGCTGTGCAATTGTGTGAGAATAAATAAGACTGGATTTTGAAACTATGCAGATAACATTCAGTTGGCAATAAGGGCTGTGTACATAACTTATCTCCTGCCAACCTAGCAGTTCGAAAGCAAGAAACTGCAAGTAGATAAATAGGTACCACTTCGGTGGGAAGGTAACAGCGTTCCGTGCGCCTTGGTGTTTAGTCACGCCGGCCACATGACCATGGAAATGTCTTCAGACAGCGCTGGCTCTTCGGCTTTGAAACGGAGATAAGCACCGCAACCCTAGAGTCGGATTTGACTGGCTTTCGAGCAAGGGAACCTTTACCTTTACCTTTTTACAAAACACATAGTAGGCATAAGCTTGAATCCACTGGCTAATTTCTGTGAATTGAAGGGGTGGGTGTTTTTTGTCACTTTCTCCATCCTTAGACCTGCAATACCTGGGTCATACTGTTCCTAGGATCTTCAGTCTCCCAGGATTGGGGGGGTGGGGCACAAGGAAGACATGATCCACAGATGGATTTTTAGTGATGGTAAATGTAGGCATGTTTTTAATGGTCATGCTGGGATAATAAAGGCCTTTTAAGAAAACGTCTGTTTTCTAGAGTCATAAGAACATAAGAGAAGCCATGTTGGATCAGGCCAATGGCCCATCCAGTCCAACATTCTGTTGTCACACAGTGCACAAACCCAGGTGACATCAGGAAGTCCACCAGTGGAGCCAGAACTCCAGAAGCCCTCCCACTGTTCCCTCTCAACTACCAAGAATAAGAGCATTACTGCCCCAGACATGTATACCTTCTGGCTAATAGCCACTGATGGACCTCTGCTCCATATGTTTATCCAATCCCCTCTTGAAGCTCTCTATGCTTGTAGCCACTAGCACTTCCTGCAGCAGTGAATTACATGTGTTAATTATTCTTTGGATAAAGAAGTACTTCCTTTTATCTGTTCTAAGCTTACTGCTTATTAATTTCATTGAGTGCCCACACGTTCTTGTATTATGAGAAAGGGAGGAAAGTACTTCTTTCTCTACCCTTCTCTATCCCATGCATAATTTCGTAAATCTCTATCATGTCAACCCTCAATCGTCATTTCTCCAAGCTAAAGAGCTCTAACCTCTCTAACCTTTCTTCACAAGGAAGATGTTCCTTCCCCTTAATCATTTCAGTTGCCTTTTTCTGCACCTTTTCCAATGCTATAATACCTTTTTTGAAGTGCAGTGACCAGAACAGTACACAGTATTCCAAATGAGGCCACACCACAGGGGCATTATGATACTGACTGGTTTTCAGTGGCCAATACCTATGACAAACACTGGGCATGTCTGGATCATTTTCTTTGTGTTATTCAGACCACTTATTTCTTCTAATTATTCAGACCACACACCATTGATTTATACAGGGGCATGATACTGGCTGGTTTGTTGTCAATCCCCTTCCTAGTAATCTCCAGTATAGCATTTGCCCTTTTTATTGCAGTCGCACACGGAGTCAATTTTTTCAGTGAGTTATATACCACAATTCCAAGATCTCTCTTCTGGTCAGTTACTGCCAGTTTGGTCTTCTTCAAGGTATATTTATAGTTAGGATTTTTGGCTCCAATGTGCATTACTTTACACTGGCCCACGTTGAACCACATTTGCCACATTGACATCCACTTGCTCAGCTTTGACAGATCCCTCTGGAGTACCTCACAGTCCTCTGGTTCTCAGTACTGCCCTTAACAGCTTAGTGTCATCTGCAAACTTGGCCACTTCACTGCTTAGTCCCAACTCCATCCAATTTATTTAAGCAAAAGGGGGTGAAGGATTCACATCACTGGTACTGTGAGGTCTTTTGGTGGACAGTAAGGAGGAATATCATCCATACAGTTGGTGAGAGGATAAATCATTGCCAGCACTCCCTTTCTTAATGGATTTTTGCACCCGACTTATGGATGCCCTCTATGGTTTTGAAGGCAAGAGATGGTCAGAGGTGGTTTGCCATTGGCTGCCTCTGCATAGTAACCCTGGACTTCCTTGGTCATCTCCCATCCAAATAGTTACCAGGGCTGATGAGGTCAGGTCAGCCTGGGCTATCCATGGGATTAGCCATGGGAAAAGGAGACACTGTCTCCAGCCACCCCATCTCCATTATTAGCCTTAGTTTGGACATTTTAAAAAAATCCATGTCTTAAGGTCACTTTTAGAAGTATCAATCCATGACACTTGAGAATACCAGTTTGCTTCCCATAGCTGGTAGCTTTTGAAAGCAAGAATATAGTTGGGCAAGAAACAATGTTTGGCAAGGTCTGATTATAGACACCATAGTGCAGCTAGTTATGCTTCTAGTTGCACTAGCTGGGATTCATACTCGACATCTCTTGCAGGTTTGTTGTAAATGATGTGGGAGGGGAAAGTAACCACAATCCTGACCAACATAGCAGTTAAGCCACAACTTTTGTATTTAAGCAGACTTGTAGTGCAATCCTATGCAGAGTTACTGCAGCCTAAGATCATTTATTTCAATAAGCTTTGACTGGAGTTCCTGTGCATAGGATTGCAACACTTAATAAATTGAGAGAGGCAGATTTGAGCAAGGGTTATCTGGTCTTGCAGTTTAACTGGCTTGTATATCAGGCTGAAACTCACCTCTAATCAGTTAGACTCTTTGGCCTCTTCACTAGAATGAAAAATGCTGCAGTAAATACTGCACATGGTTAAGGGGGTTTGGGGTTTAGAGAGAATCCAAGAGACATTGCTGATGGCTCCACATAGTCAGACACAGACAAGCAACAAGAGCTATGTGCTTTGTATTTTTGACCCAAAATGTACAGCAGAACGATGCTCATGTGTTCTCTCATTTTTATGCCAAAATTGTGCTATGAAATGATTCTCTTATTTGCATTGCTTGCATTTTTATAAGGTCAGCTCTGTACTTTGAGGGGAAACCTGCACTGATGCATTGTTTCTAATGTCTGCATTTTGTTTACATTGGTGAGTGCAGATTTAGAATCCAAGGCACCAGTTTGTTTTCCAGCATTCCGATATATTTCATATGCATGTCTTACCCCTTTGTATGTGGTTAGAGGGGGATGGTAACAAATGAAAATGACCTGGAAAGTGCTTGGGGGGGGGGGGAGGCAATATGAATTCCACAATCTGGTATCGTGTTTTTTTTTTTTCTCAAGGAGCTCCAGGTGCTCCAGGACAGCCTCCTTATAATTTCCAAGGTTATCAGCCATCTTATGGAGCTCCACCTCCCCAAGGTCAACCTAATGCACCTGGTGTCACAATTTGGATGCCAGCACCACCTCCAATTCCGAACTGTCCTCCTGGATTAGAATATTTAAGCCAGGTATTTTCCCTTTCTATATTTAAACACTGCTTGTTTTTCCCCCTCTTTCCTAATAAATAAGGATATATGTAATATGTGAACATGTTAATACCTATGGGAAGATCCAGTAATGTATTTATTTAAAACATTTCTGTGCCACCTTTCCATCCAAATCAGATCCCCAAGGCAGCGGACATGAATATATGAAAACGTTTCAGTGTTGAAACAATGCCACACTAAAACAGCAGTTAAAATGGAAGTGTATTTAAAATTGTGGCAGGATGGCCATACTGCCCTGTAAGTGCAAGGTGGTTTCCTCCCAGACTTCCCCTGCGAGCTCACAACCAGCCCTGTCAGGAAGCTGGGACAGAAAGTTCCTAATTGCCCCTCTCTGATAGCGTGCCACTGCCTTGAGTAAAATCTGCTGTTCTCTCTCCCCTAGCATCACCCAAGGTCAACAGCACAGGGGTGTGTTTCATTAGTGTGCCGAATGGCAAGGTGTTGAGTATGGAAGTGTGCAGACTCTTTAGTTTAAACAATGTTGTTACTATTATTTAGTTTAAACAATGTTATTCGGGCCCCTTTCGGGCTGCTGTGGATTCTCTAATCAGATGCTCTAATCTGAATTGGCTTGCCACCGAATTGCTGCCGAAATTCAGCGGCAATTTGGCCCCATTATATCCTATGGGCCTTTGAAGTCATTGGTGAAAACATAGGGTATATTATGGGGGCTGGAGGGGAGGGGATTTGAGGGAGAGGCTCTAGACTCACAGAGTAGCTACTGAAGCCTCTCCCCAAGATACCCACCAAGGTTCAAGAACATTGGACCAGGGTTTCCAATTCTACAGGCCCCCAAACAGGTTGCCCCGATCCCCTCCATTGTTCTCTATGGTGGGAACAAGAATTACTTTTTTCCCACGGTGCTGTTAGTGGCTCTGAGAGGGAGGGAGTTTGAGGGAGAGGCTCCATATTTTCAGGGTAGCTTCAGGAGGCTCTCCCGACATAAACCCCCATATCTCAAAACAATTGGACCAGTGGGCCCATTTCTATGGGCACCCAAACAAGTCACCCCCATTACCTCCATTGTTTCCAATGGGGAAACCCAGCCAGCAGCACTTAAGGCAGGCAAGCAGGCAGCACCCAGCAGTCAGACTCTCCCAGAGAATCTCAGGGAAAGTGAACTGTCTTGGGAGGTGCTTGTTTGCCATGAGAACAAGTGGCACACACCAGAACAAGTGGCACTGTGGCAGTGCAAGCATGCCACAGTGCCACAGAGAACCCCCAAAAGACCAATGGGGGGGCAGTTTCACCCAATTGCTGCATGCATGTGCAGCCTGCAAGTTTGGTGGTGTTGCTTTGCACCCCACCTTCCTTGCTTGGGAGGGGGAGGAGAGAGTCAACTCTACCCAACTCTATCCTGGCCTGACCTGCTACATCCCTGGACTTCTGGTTCCACCATCAATTTTCAAAGGGCAGGACCTGTATAAATGTTGTTCCTGTTGGTCTTTTGGGGTTTCTACTCTGAAAATTTAGTTGGTATCTTGGGGAGAGGTTCCAGCCGCTACTCTGTGAGTTTGGAGCCTCTCCCTCAAACCCCCTCCCCTCTAGCCCCCAGAATATACCCTGTGTTTTCGCCTTTGACTTCAATGGCCCATAGGATAGAATAAGGCTGAAATTGACATTCGGCCGGACGAAACTGACATGCAGGAGTCTTACTGCTGGCAGAAATTAATTCTGTCCGAATCAGCCGAATTTTGTTTTTTATTTTTATTTTTGCACACCCCTAGTTATTACTATATGACACAAACTCAGGATAACTACAAGATAGGTTCTGGGTACAGCTTATCAGAATAAAGAAAAGTTACTGGCTAGCTACATGCAAACCTTGAAGCATCTGTTCTTTGCTGGTTGCATGGTGCCCCTTCCGAAGCACATCTGCCAGCATCCTCCGGTGTCTTTCTCCTCTGTCATCCCTCTTCATAATGCACACACAAGCGGGCATGTGTCCCCAACAACCATAGCACCAAATACCTTAACAAAAGACCCAAACAAAGGAACAGCTTCTCTCGTGCTAGGCCCTCACCAGTCTGGGTGCTAGAACATGGTCCGTCCAATCCAAGAGCTAGCATTTTTTCCCTTTAGGTTGTCTGGAGGAGAGCATCTTTCCCATACTCTGCCCACCTCAGGGATGCCAGTACACCTTTTCATCACCATGACTGTCACAGCCCATATTGTCCGTCTGCCCTGTCATCCACCAAAAACCCCACATTTAAACAATTCAGTAAAACATATAAGCACACATAACACAACCAGGGAGGAGGGCCAGTAACAGGTATTGGGGGTATGCCAAACAAAACAGAAAACAAGTCTTCACCCTCTGGCAGAAGACAGCAGAAGATAGCAGGAGAGAGATGCATCTCCCTGGGGAGGGAGTTCTAAAGTTTGGCACCACAACTGAGAAGGCACTTTCTTGGGTTGCCACCCACCAGGTTTCAGCTGGTAATGGCACCTGAAGCAGGGCTGCTGAAGATGGCTAGAGTGAATGGGTAGATACGGAAAGCATTCATGAGTTGTATAATAACTACTGAGATAGCTCTTACGCTTAGAAATACACCTCTGTGCATTTCCAACATACATTTCTGGAAGTAGTCTGAGTTGCTGCTGCTGTTATGCATTCTCATGCAAATGCTAAGGTGGGGGAGGACATGCTGGAGGCCAATCCGCAATCAAGTGCTAGAAGGGAATGTCCCTTTGCACTGTGATTTGAGAGAATCCATGACATTTCACATGTCTCAAGAGCTGTTTTCTGTGCAACTTCCTTGTACTTGGTTGTTGTTGCAAAGAGCACCAGGAACTGCTGTAGGAAAGCAGATAGGCAGTGGCAGTGCAGCGACACTATTCAATGACGTTCCCTACACTCTTGTGTAATAATCCGATCATAGAAGGCAAAAACAAGTGTAGTAAACAGACTCACTACTTACAAATTGCCAAAATGCTAAAGAACATGTATTAGACAGTAGTGAATACAAAGTAGCCACATAAGAAAAATACAAAATGGAAACAATGAAGAACTTGTGTAATAATACACTACAACAGAAAAATCCACAGAATAATGGAGAACTAATATAATAACGCAATGTTGTGTCTGGATGTTTGATTACAACATTTCAAAGTTCATCCTTCATCAGGGTGTTCTACAATGAAACACACAATGTATTAAGAAAAGGAGAGCCGTACAATAAACATGCAAGGTCAGTGTACAAATCAAACCAACAGCTTACCCCCTTAAGTTGCTGTGGCTTCCATATTTTTGTTCACATGCACTGGGAACAATCTGTGTTAGCAAAAAATGCAACAAATCATACACAGTCCATATAAATAAGTATAACATTGCTAAAAGCATTTCTTGCAGCTACTCACAAGAATTCAATACAAGAACGGATGCAAGTCTCCAATGTGTAATTCAGCAGTTTCAGGCTTCCAGTGGGACCGACAGCATCTCTTGGCTGGGCTCTGAGTTGAATGTAATTAAGGTGGTTGTGTTAATGCAGACCAGCTGTGTTTGTGGAGAGCCACATTGTCAGATTTATCTTGAGTTTAAAGAAAGCATGCCAAGTCCAAATTCTGACTAAGGCCAGACGGAAATACAGTTTAAGACGGGAGATCCAAAACATTTCTGTTTGTAACAATCTCTTACACATGTCTGTTCTTTCACCTGGTGTTTGTTTAATGACTTTCACCTGGTGTTTGTTTAATGAGATCAGACTAGCCTGGGCAAGACTAGCAAGGACAGGTACCAGAGGTGATACCCAGCTGAAAACATAGCATACTCACACTGCTCCTTTGCACTCCTGTCTCTTTGGATAGCTTTATTTGCTGGTGGTTCTGGTAGCAGCTGTTGGCTCCAAGGTGGAGAACCTGGTGCTCTTTCTGTGACCCAGAATCCTCCTCATTTCATTTACATGTGAGAGGCTGAGCTAATCAGGGGTGAGCCAGGAGGACCCTTTGACCTGAGCCTCCTGTTGAGAAGGGATCTTGACTTTAGAACCTTGTTAATTTCTTGGTGCTTGATAAGTTTAACAGTTTATTTTTATGTGTTCCATGTCATCATTTTTTATTTGTATTATGGCGGGTGGCCTCAAAAGCTAGCCATGTTCTGGGCCTCTCTGGATCTCTGAAAGTAGGCTTGCCAAGTTGCCCACTGTGATGGCCAAACATTTGGTCACTACACAAGGGATGAGGCACTACCATGTTACAGCATTGCCTCCAGGCTCATAACCAGTCCAGAAGTGATCTCACAGCATTGCACAGTGCTCTAGGCGTTTCCTAGATTTAAGTATTTATGTACAACTATTCCTAGAGCACCATGTGATGCTGATTACTGCAGTCCTTACTGCCCACTCCAGTGCTCCCAGGGGTTACCCAGCCAGGGTCTGGCAACCCTGTCTGAAAGGGCCTGGTGAAACTCATTCTGTGCCCTGTCCCAGCTGCCCTGTCGTTTGATTTGGTTTCTCTAGCTATGATTGTTCAGTACATTTACTAAAAAAGTCATCTCCATTGATTCATTGAAACAGTTTCTAAATAAATGCGTTTTGGGATTTGGTTGAGTAATAGATTTGGTTTTGGTTGGTTATAGAGCACCCTGAGTCATGTGGTCATGGGGACCGAACATAAAAATAACTGGAAATATGATGTTTTAAATCACATTTCAGTTTTAATATGTGCTTTTCTTTTAAACCACTGTGACAGATTGATCAGATATTAATTCATCAGCAGATTGAACTTCTGGAAGGTGTGTATTTTATTATGCTACTTGAGGTTATCGGTGGATCCAGAGATATCTCAAATGTTTGTTTCTCAGCTTCTTCGGTTTCTTTGCAATGCTGGATGAGTGGAGATATTTGAGTTTTAAAAGCATTACTCAATTTGTAGCCCCTAAAATGCAATTAGGAATATAATAAATTGTTTACGTTAACATGGGGTACATATAACCAGAATGCATAGTTATATTCAGTATTACGGTAGTGGATGTTACAGATTAAAAAAAAAAAAAGATCAGGTAATATATTAGGAATAAATATTTTCCTCATTTTCCTTGAGAATTTGCCATTACTTACTCATTTATTTATTAAACTGGATTTTTTTAAAACCACCCTCCACTGTAGAGACAGGGCTCAGAGCAGTGTACAACAATGGAATACATTCATATAATAATTACGTAATTAAAACAGTTGAAATACAGCAAAAAGCACAACAATCATCCTAATAGAGGACAGTAGGAACTTCCAGTTGTGTTCCTGCCTCATGGGGGAAGGCGACGAGTAGGAGTGCCAGGCAGATGGAATGGTCACTGTCCTCAAACAAATGCCTGGCAGGACCGATCTCTGCCTTACAGGCGCTGCAGAGAGTTCCACCAAATTGGAGATGGGGCAGAAGACGCCCTGGCTCTGGTCGAGGACACCCAGATATCTCTTACACTGACCTTGTTCTCAAAATAGCTTTGAATATTTTATTGCCTCTTACTCCTGTCAGATTTTGCTTATTTAAGAATTGAGGAAATGTTGATGAAATGTTGACTTTGGCCCCAGAGTGTGAAAACCAAAACCTCGCCCTTGAAGTATGTCATACCTACCCTTTCTCACCGCTGTTTCTCTAGGTCCTAGTTGTATACTGTAGAGTACAACCTAAAATGCAAAAGGTATTCAGTCAGAAAGCAGGTATCCACTTTATGTTCTGGATGCCCTAGTGACCCCTTTTAAAGAGCTAGCTGTATGCATTACAGAGCTGTGGCTGCATGTATAAGCCCGATAGTGTGACGGGCAGAGTGCAATACATCTTGCTTATCTGAACTATGAGGACCAGAAGCACTGAACTCATCACTTGTGTCAGTGCTTTGCAAAATATCCACCTTAGCACCACTGTTCCCTCTAAGCTTAGTTAGTG